CCAAGTTTCATAATCATCGAATAAAAAACTTCACAGATAAAAATATTTTTGTATAAAAAACAAAATGGCGGATATCTGGGTAAATATGCATTTTCGGACATACCTTCCCATAAACTTCTTTCTTCCTTCTAGTATGGGGATCCATTTCCCAAAGTCCTGAAACGTTTTTTATGGACACCCAGTATATTTATATATATATATAATTAAAACATATATAACAAAGTACCCTTTTAGTAATTATTTTATTTTATTATATATATTTATATATGTGTCCGTTAGCGCGATAACTCGAGCAAAAACGATCCGATTTTGATGAAATTTGGTACAAACGTGTAAACCTATATTTATTCGAACGAGTTCGCGAACCAGCATGATCGGACCATGGGAACGGGGGTTTATGGGGGGTTTTATGGGGTAAAAATGGATTTTTCCCACTTTTGACTCAAAAAACATAAAATTTTGCAATTTCTTTCCAAACTATTTTGTAGAGCTTAAAAAAACAAATAATTTAGTATATTGAAGCGTTATAACCCACCTAATGGTTACGGAGAAAATTTCAAAAAATTTTAAATTTAAAATTCCCATGTTATTCTTATGGAGAATAAGAAAACTGTTGTAGTTTGCTTGTTTATTAACATTTTTTGCCCAAATTTGGAAAATGTTTTTATTTCTTACTAACTATTAACATTTTACATAAAAAACACTTTTACCCTCCCTGTTGCAGCAAACCTAAGTATGTGTTAAACTGATTCTATTTAAATACGGAATAAATGTGATATTTTTAAGGAGACATTTTAGTGTAAATCCAATCAGGCAAATGGAAATTCGCTTAGTCTGCAGGTTTGCTGCGGCGGGGGTATTTTTGTTCTATAATAGATTCATAGAGATCGGTTGAAAAAAATCCTAGATAAAAATATTTATGTACAAAATACAAAATGGCGAATATCTTATTAACGAAGTGATTTTGGAAAAAAGTTATTCTTGAATTTATCTTTATTTTGACGCAAGGAACTACGTAAATTATGTCCCCGCCTTTTTGAACACCCTGTATAATCATTGTTACCTTAACTCCTACTTAACTATAATAATGTCAATCAATACCATCCAGCCCTGTTGTCCAACTTCATTTCCCCTCAATAATACATTCAGTTCACTCAGTGAGTTTCAGAATACTACAGAAAAGTATTTGTTCTCACTATGTTTTCAAAGTTTTTACTGTGATATACATCGTTATTATTATTATTAGCTAAACACAACTTTAATAAGTATCACTGTTAACAACAGGCTTATTTCCTAGATGTATTTGTCTGACATTACACTTTCAATGAAACTTCTACAATTATCTAGTTTCTAACCCAATTTATTTTTAAGTGGATTTATACTTTTATACGGTGCAACTAACAAGGTAAAGACTTATTTGTTTCAATAAAAATATATGTTTAGTTAGTTTGTTCACACTTATTTAAATTACGTATACATTGATTTGATTTGACAGTAGAATTACAACCACATATTTTTTACGTCGTGATGTTGTTTTCCATGAGCCTGTGGAACGAAGGTGAGGATGTCGTGATCAGGCCAATGGCCGCTGCCCACTGGCCTACTTGGAACTTGGACCTAGAGAAAGTAAGTCCGCGAAAACTTGAACTCAATCATAGGCTTTGATGATACATGTGCTTTCACGAAGAATTTGGTTTTCCAATTTCCAATTGCTGAAAAAATGCTATACGAATTGAGGGTACTGGTTAGCTAACTAAGAGTTTAGATGTCTCTCTCACAATCGATCCTAAACATAGTAGGTTATTTGTTTTTTAGATTTATATTTGAGTCAATTTTTTTGTTGTGTCCATGGTTCTTGTAGAGCAGAAAGATGCTTGGGAACAATCCACAAGCATAAACATCACAAAAAGTGTTACATCAGAGAGAAGTGTAAATTATATGAGATGTGCAAAACCACGCAACCTCACAGACTTTTAAAATTTCCTTATAATAGTAATTTTATTTTTGGAACCAAAACATTTAAGAAGGATACAGCAATTTAAATAAATAACAATACTGATTGTATACAAAAACACCATATATAAAGATGCTGTTTCCCTGACGTTAAAGGAGACATAACAATAATTTGATTATTGAATAATAAACAAAATAGTATTTGAATATAACAACGAGGCACAGGAATATCTGATTCTATTATTATTATAGACTATTATATTGTAGTATATTATAGTGTTCTGTTTGTATTTTAAATTTTATTTCATCATAAAGGTGAATTTCTATATAAAGTGCAACCCCCCATCTTGCAGGATATGCGAATTTCTAGTTTATTTTCGAGTGTTTTTTGTTCAATAGGTTCATAATAATAGAGATTTGTCTTTAGAGGCTAGTAAATTGGGTATAGGGGTACATAATATTGGCTAAGTTAGAATTATATATTCTGTTGTGAGGAATATGTGAATTGTTGTTATGATCCAATAGAAAAATCCAATGCACGATCAACCAATTTCTATAGCAATAAATGTATATTCTCCATAAACAACATGGGGGAAAACTCTTGACTACCAACGCAGATTTAAAATGCAATGTGCCAAACTGTGTTTTTGTCAGCTGATTTGATAAGTAGAAATTAAACGTAAATTACATTTGGGCATAAACAAACTACAGGGTTAGTAAAAAGTGTGGAGACCCCCTGTTATTTTTTTAATGGCCCATACTAGAAAAACTAAACTCGGCACACCATTATGGCATGTTATGAAGTACTTTTTGGGTATAACCGCCACTTGGTGTTCATCCCCAAAATGGGGGATTTTGGGGGAAACTAAAAAATTTCAAATACAAAGACCCATCGAGTGACCCCTCATTTTGAAGGTCCTAGTAAAAGAAAACCAACAACGCAAACTAGAGGTCTCTATCTCAGTTCAGTACAAAATAGCAGCCAATTGAAATTCTCATAAGTTTCCAAACCCAAAATGGGGGATTTTGGGGGAAACTCAAAAATTTTAAATGATAAGCCCCATCAATTGACCCTTCATTTTGAAGGTCATAATAAAAGAAAACTAACAACGCAAACTAAGGTCTCTATCTTAACACAGTAAAATATGGCAGCTAATTGAATATAAAATTGCAAGTTATTTCCGATTTCTAAAGATTTCATTCAGCTTCCATTTTTTACTGGATTGAGATAGAAACCTCTAGTTTGCGTTGTTAGTTTTCTTTTACCAGGACCTTCAAAATGAGGGGTAACTCGATGGGGCTTATCATTTAAAACATTTGAGTTTCCCCAAAAATCCCCCATTTTGGGTTTGGTAAGCAAGTGGCTATTAGGCTTAAAAAGTACTTCATAACATGCCAAAAAGGTGTGTAGAGTTTAGTTTTCCTAGTGTGAGCCAATACAAAATTTACAGGGGGTCTCCAGACTTGGAAAGCTGTAAGTTAAATTTAACTTCTGAGAATTTCAATTGGCTGCCATTTTTTACTGGATTGAGATAAAGACCTCTAGTTTGCGTTGTTGGTTTTCTTTTAACAGGACCTTCAAAATGAAGGGTCACTCGATGGGTCTTTGTATTTGAAATTTTTGAGTTTCCCCCAAAATCCCCCATTTTGGGGATGTACACCAAGTGACGGTTATGCCCAAAAAGTACTTCATAACATGTCATAAAGGTGTGCCGAGTTTAGTTTTTCTAGTATGGGCCGTTAAAATAATAACAGGGGGTCTCCACACTTTTTACTAACCCTGTATATTAAATAATATGGATTTGGAGGAATATATGTTGGATTTGCATATAACATTTCAACATTATTATAAAATTAATTTAAGTCTATAAATTGCTACTAATGTAGTTTTTATACATGTATTTGGAGAGTTTCCTAAATTTTGAAAAAAAAAACAAATCCTCATGTCATTGCAAATTGAGGGTAGAATGTTTTCAATCATGTTTAATTTTTGAATTGAAATGGCTTTTTTGATCCTAGCATTTAGACTTATAACAGTATTCAAACAATCTTTGTGGTGGTATAGTTTCAAAATGTATGCTCTTTTAGGGTGTCATTTAATTTCCAGATTCCAGATTGTACAATAAGTCAATGATCGCCAATACAATTAAGCTCTTAACAAAAATCCGAGTAAAGTATGTGAAAAATAACATGCAAAACTTGGAAAAATAGCTCAATTTGATGTATTTGTTCCGGACGAAGAGAACAACACGTTTGAAACACGCACCTTGGCAAGAGTGGGTTAGCTATAATTGTTATGGCGTGAATGTTAATAATGATAATAGTATTCTACAAGTTTACAAACCATATACTGTACTGACTCTTACTGATCAAAACATGCTTCTTGTCGTAGATGCGTAATAGAAAGGGAGTTAGTACTAGAAACGTTTGCCGTCGCTATGCATCTACTGTACAGTAAAAGAGGAATCAAATTAGTTCTTTGGTCTCAAAAACCAATATTCTTATCCATAATATATCTGTAATATACTGATTGGTTTTATGTTCATAATACCAGGTCTACCACAGGAAACCATGCATTTTTAGGCCTATGATAATTTTTTATTGTTTTGATCTAAGAGAAAAATTCACAAATTCTTCTTAGGGATATTCTATATGCAGTATAGTTAGTCACCCCCATTAAACATATTTTTAGTTTTTAAAATATCTTTATTTACTAGTAAATTTCTATATACCAAACAGATATAAACTGTGAATTGGAATAAGACCCCATTTTAAGGGTAGTTTTGTCCCATTAATATACAATTCTAAACCGTGTAGTTTTTAATTAAATATTTTACCAAACTCGGTATCATATTAAAAGTCTGTATTCCTTAGTACTTTATTAATGGGCTGTTTAAATATTGTTTATATCTTTTGATATTTTTGAAGCAAACATTTAACTCACTATGATTTTTTAATGGGTATAATATGTATTATCATTTAGGCCAAATCCCACTACACTATTTAAGGCCATTAGGCCACTGAGTCCCCATTTCTAAAACACCTACCTCTCTCCACTTCCTCGAGCAAAACATGTGTTTCCGAGGTGTGGTTACTGAATTGGAATTGCAATAGGCTGAATGGAAAAAAACAATATTACATAGTTGAAAGTGGTCTGTTTTATTTGGATGCGTCTATGTTGTTTTTTGTCCTACTGAATTTAATTCCAAGTGTAATGTTTTTGGTGATTTAAGACTACAGTGGTTGTAATTTTAATATACTTTCCATCCCATATCGGGTCCCAAATTGTAATATTCTTATAGTGTTCAGGATCCATAACTATGATGTTAATGGAAACTAAGTAGAGGGGATGTTATATAAAAAAGGCACAAATTTGGAATATTTGAAGAATCTATGTAAACAAATAAAAAAATAAAATAGTGAAGTTATGAAAATCATAATTGGGTTGAGAACCGCCTCTTACGATATCTTAAAGCATCGGCCCACACCATCTATCAAGTTTCTGTCAAGATAATTTGGCTTTTACTGTTGACCATATGAGATCTGACCATCGCAGTTCAAATTGTTGATCTTTCCCATGAATAACCAGCCTTACAAGCGATTTGAAAGTCTTGCTGATTTTAAATTGATGTCAGTCTTAATGATTAAGAATTGAGTATATTGTGCAATTGATATTAGTTCTATAATGCAAATCCGAGTCTAATACCAGCACGATTTAGAATCGGGTTGCAAATGCAGTACACCTTAAACTGTGAGTTTAAGACTTTCCTAGGTAAATATCCAAAGGTACAATCATTTAATGTAACGAATGACGTGTTGGAATGTGTACAAAATACTCAATGGTAAAGAAAGTGAAGTGTAATTGTGCAATAGTGACTCGTAATCATTTTGGATTGAATACAAATTTCAAAACAACTGAATCATAATTTTAATTATTCTAAATCAATTACTTATAAAATAATACACTTACTCACTTATTTGAGTGCTTTTATAAATGATCTCTTATGAATGATAAAATGCTGCGTGGATGTAAGGAATTAAATCGGAGCAATTTTGATGTCATCCAATCAGCAATAAGCACTTGTTTATAGTTTATAGTTATGTTAGTTTATGTTTATAGTTGCAAAGTTAGAGTCGTGAAACTTGCTAAGTACCTCATCGACACGATAAATTAAAACAAAAGAAGGATCTTCCAAGATGGCCACTTAACGACCGTGTATCTGTCGGTGGAAGAAAAGTGGTCGTTGAAGAGGTTTCTGAAAATAATCCTTGACAACAATAAGTAGCACACGTTGCATATTTTCTTTCAAACCATTTATATGTTTTAAGTAAAATGTTTTATGGAAAAAATGTACCGTTATTCATAATTAATTAATTCATAATTATTCATATCTGCGGCTGTTGATCCACACTGCGTGTACCTTGTGTTGCATAAATAGAAAAGGGCTATACATAAAAATGTTATGTTTTGGGATAATTTTTTTAAATTTTGTAATGCATGTCAATGGTCTATGTGAGAACCGTATTATAACCGAACTGACCGGTTAGCTAATTGATTGAAGAAGATAGAGGCTAGATTCACGAGGCATTGTTATTCTTATAATGTTCTGATTCATGTTGCAAATTGTTATTGAATCAATGAACCACACAAGAATATTGAATTTGCTAAGATATTTAACAATAATTGATAAAGCCCGATAAAATAACGAATTTCTAGTAGGGAAAGATATTTTTTCACATCTAGTACCCCTCCTTTATTAGTAAAACCATTTTATTATTTTTTTATGAAGATTTGTCAATAAGATGAAGTTGTTAACACTCGTAATTTATTATAATAATACATGTGTGCCTTTGCCACATTTATTGTGTGCTATCAAAAAGATTTTTAGCTATCATATAACTTTCCATAAAAACTACATTTTACTTACAAATTCGCAGTGGCTGGAGAGATGATTCTGGTCAAGAGTTCGCGGGAAGACTACCATCGCCGGACGAGCGCCACCGCGGCGGGCGAAGCCCCCACCACCCCATCACATCGTGCATAGCATAACATTATACGCTATGGGGAGATGGGTGGAGGTGGAGGTGTCCGAGAAGTGCATCTAGCAGTAGCCACCAGCCCCCTGACTGCAGTCTAGAGACCTACTTACCAAAGATTACAATCGTTTGGTTTTGTTTTCGGAAAGCATACTGTCCTTGACACCAGTTAGTAAACACAGTTTGATACATGCAAATAAAGAGCTTTGTTAACATTCGTGATCGAAAAATAGCTATTTGTGTATTCAGAGCGTAAAGTGCACCATTGCTGCTCGAGAACTGTAGATAGCAATACATTTCGAGAGCGGTAATGACTGTTTGTGCTCGTAATACACACACGGGTTTTTTCTACAGCCATAATAGCACAAAATTCATACATTAATTGTCCATCAATTTAATTTATCATAACACACAGATTAACTGTTTGGATGCTGATAAAATGTCATTTAGGTTATGTTTACTTTTTTAGGTACATATTTGCTTACCGAATGTTAGTTTTTTTTTTTAGAAATGCCAATAAATTAAATTCGCTGATTTGGCGAGTGGGAATGGTCATTCTCGCTCTATAGCGGAAATGAGTTATTTTCCGTACTGTTTACAGGTGTGGCAATGTGATCATCTCCATGCAGTGGTAGGGAAAATGCATTGTTACACAACAGTATACCTACGTTTGGTTACATATTGTCGATCAACAGATTCTGGGACGATACAATATCTGTCAACATTGACGTTAAAGCAACTTGGTAACGTACTTGGTAAACCCGTTGAATAATCAAACATTTCTCACACATAAATTGTGACATTGAAAATTTCCCCCGAAAATGGGGGATTTAGGACATAGTTCCAAAATTTCAAACGATATTATTCTAAACTATTGGCCAGTGTAGTCTTTACTTTGGGGATACTTTCAAGCAATAATCATATGATTCTGTCTAGCCTTGATGTATTTGATTATAACTTGACAGAAGCTTAAAACTCAGGCCTTCTGCTACAAAGGACGAGTCAAAGATGAGGCAGGAAATCTGGTTCGTATATTTTATTGTTGTTGTTGGATTGTAGATTGTGCTTTGGGAGGAAACGCATTGTAGTTTCAAGATCAGTATTGAAGAAGGTTCAAAATACCTGTAACATTAACAGGTACTTATGGATCGAAGCATTTCAAATTTTGCACAGATTTTTTTAGAGTGGAAACCTCTAACCTCGTTTGTTCAGTAACAGCTTCAAGATTGACCGCACAGTTTAAGTCAATAAGTTCAGCTTTTTGGCCTGAACTCAGTCCAAATCCTGCATACAGACGGTCAGTTGTTAGAACCGACAGTTAAAACTGATCGTTTGTTGTAGGGCCCTTTAAGAATGCTTTCAATGTAACTTTCCCAATCCAAGTGTTGGAGTTGGTCTGATCTAATTAGTAAATCCAATCGACGTAGTCGCCACATCGTTTATGTATGCACATAATGTTCACCCCAGATAACTGCACGTACTCCCCCTCTCTTCAACGTATCTCCTGCACTCTACTATAGACAATGTGCATTGTAGTAATGCCCTAGCTGACACGGCACGGTTCTCATCCAACAACCTACTAACCGTCGCATAATTACCGTATTAACAAACCCAACCCATATTCAATAATCATGTTATTTGCATGAGACTAATTGCAGGCTTATCGATGATATTTCGCAACCCGATTAGGTAAAAAAACAAAGTTTTTGGACGTTTAATTTGGAATTGGATCCCTTTCTCGGGTAAGAAAGTATGAAACAATAATTTTTTTTTAATTGGCTTTTGTGATTTTACAGCTCGTCGTACGAAATTATCTCAAATTTGCTCAACCTCGAGGGATCAATGAGCTGTGTTTGAGTACTCCTGTCATGTGTACCAACCTCTGTACTCTCTGGTAACAACAATATAGTCTGGTTGCAGGTCAAAAAACCTGGAAGTAAGGTCGACCCAATGTTTTTTAGTGGTTTCTGTTTCTTCAAGACCTACATAATTAAAATAGGCAGGGTGCCACTTTGTCACCCTTGAGCAAATTGAGATATTCAAGATGGCGGCCAAGATGGCTTAAAAACTCTATATATCTGCTGTATCTTTCCCCATAGAAGAGACAGGATAATCATTTTGTGCCTAGTTTGATGTTTTAATTGGAAAATTACCCAAAATAATAAATCAATATAAGTTTTTAATAATTTCTACATTAATTTGTTGACAAGTTACCTTATCAACAATGTTTTCAAGTATTTACTTGACTAAAAACATTATAAATCCATGGTTTCTGAGGATAAGTACAACATTCAAACAGAACACAGTCATCATATCAGTTAACTTACAAGCAGTTCTCCTAATTGATGCTTGTGCAGTACTGTGGACAGTGCATTATCCTTCTTCAGGAACTGTGAATGACTTTATCAACTAACTGCTTTTTAAATTATAGTTTTCTTGAATTAAAAAAAAAACACTGTTCTATAGGCTAGTCAAAATACGGTCCAACATCAAACTTAAGGTAAAAGAAATAAAATATATTTCTTCCCCATATTCTTCCCCATATATTCCAAAATATATGGGATTTTGTCAACAAATGTGTCAAGAATATTATACTAAAAATCAAGAAAAATCCAAGTGGCGTAAAGCCGCCATTTTGGAAAAACATTCGCCATATTGGATTTATGTAAGCTTTTAGTAAAACATCAATAATTTGACAACTAATCGTCTTAAAAATCTGTGGTTTGTCTTAATAGCTTCCTTATCAAGTTTACTTTAATATAATAACTGTTATACCATTTAAATATTGATTCATTTAAAAGAGACAGCTTTAAATAGAAACAATACGAAATTTCGAAGATTTTTTTGTAAAACCGTTTGCAAATACAAACTCAGGTGATAAGAACATTCATATTTTGTGGCTCTTAAAAGAATCTGCATTATATTTTGAACAATTATCAACCTCATATCAGTTTGTATATTACTTTGAAGATATGGGAATATTTGTTATTAGTCTTCAACTTGGAACGCTTGCCGTGCTGCACCACTACTTCTAGACCGATTGAAATACACTTTGAGGTGGGAAAAATTGCTTTGAGAACATTTAAAACATATTTTGGAATCATACATTCATACATATAGGGCAATGTATAAAAAAAATCTGACAAAATCCGAGCATGGGAACACTGAAAAAGTAGGGGTTTTTAAACATACAAAAATTAAATTTTTCATAATAGACAATTACACTAGTAGTCAGAAAAATATAGGATATGACCTCTAAAATAAAATTTCAATGAAACGTTTTATGGTTTTACTTTTATTGTTGGGTGTGCAGTGTGATGTACTAAAAGTTTTTTTTAAATTGGTCTACGAGAAAACCCCTAAAATCACTATTAAAAATGTGGCTTTTCCCAACATTGGACAATTTTTAATCTTATTAATCACTTTAATTTTTATTAATCACTGATTAAAATTTGACAAATTTAAAATTAGTCATGGATCTTTATTTAAAATTAAATTATATTTATTTTGAAAACTGTCTTTAGTTAAATACGTATATCCCCAATATGAATAGAATTAAATTACTCTGAAAAATGAAAAATTACTTTGAATAAAAATACATAATTTATCCTCCACTAAACAAAATTCGACAAATTTAAATTGAATCATGGAATTTGATTTAAAATTAAATTATTTTTATTTTGAAAACTGTCTTTAGTTAAATGGGCCTACATATATCCCCAATCTTAAATAACTCCAAAAATTCTTTATAGTATTAAATAATTCGTCAAAGTATTGACTTATTTTAGCTATGGATTACTTATTTAGAATTGGCGATTATCCTCTTTAACTAAAAACAATTTTCAAAATAAAAATTATCTAATTTGAAATAAAAGGCCAAGTCTCATTTAAAATTTGTCAGATTTTATTTAGTGAATATTTAAATTAAAGCCATACATTTACTGAGTAGTTTGAAACCAGATACAACTTGGTGACGTATTAACAACCCGAAATATAAATCTTTTAATAACAACCTTTTTCTAAAAAGGTCAATTTAATATTGTATTGTGCTTCGTAGCTGGTCTATAACTCATCCGTTTTTAATGGCCAATAGCTCAAATAAAAGCCCTTACATCAATGCATATTTTATGGCTATAACGAACTGCAAGCGTTAATAATAACTGTAGATGTAGAACAAATTTTTTTAACTGTTCGAAGTACGAAACATTCATTAGAAATGTATGGGGTAGAATTTCGTTTGAATATATCTCCAAAATGAAAAAGGATATTAAACCAACGGATTTCATAATTAAAATCAGCATGAAAATATAGTTTAAAATTATGTGTCACAACACTATCATTACATTTAAAATATTTTATTTATATGCAATATGGTGATTCAAGATGGCGGCCAAAAACGCGTTACATATCGAAATTAAGTACTAACTACCGAATAAATATCAGCATTGGTACCTCTACCAAGTCAATTTTGTCCAAAAATGTTCATAAAAATGCATGTGGTAGCCTATACCATTTCCAAAACTTGTATGCAATTTAATCTAATTTAAATAAAAAGGCATTTTTCAATTCACCAATGACATCCTATTAACTTTTAAAGCAAACATATATATTTTATTACTAATATAATCAATTATTGGTATTCTCTGACCCTTAAAACCTAAAATTAGACACAAAAATTATTATCCTGTCTCTTCTATAGGGAAGGATACAGCAAATATACAGTTTTTAAGCCATCTTGGCCGCCATTTTGAATATTTCAATTTGCTCAAGGGTGACAAAGTGGCACCCTGCAGATTTTAATTATGCAGGTCTTAAAGCAACAGAAAACACTAAAAAACATTGGGTGGACCTTACTTTCAGGTTTGGGTAAAAATGCCTTTTGGCAACTAGACTAATATGTGCGTATAAAGTATATTATTATCACTTGTACTATGTTCATGAGTGTTTCCGCAGTAAGACTCCATGAGCGACAGTTATATATATATATACTACTGTAACTCCATTCATCGTCCTTTTCAACGCATGGAATATAATAACCAAAATATACAAATCTTCCTAATAGATGGATCAACATTTCAATCAACCTTTATGTATATTAAATCAATTCCACCAGCTTTACAATCATAATTCTGCTAACAGCCAGGGTGGAAGTATTACATGCCAGGATATTCCCAAAACTGAAAAGACTTGTGACGTTTCCCGAGCGTCATTGGTATCAAACAAAGTTAGAAGATAAAAATAAATAACAACTATTGAAGGCAAACTATTAAATACCAAAACTTGACGTGAAGCAGTCGATCATGTGTGTCCCCTTGGAGTACTTTCTACAAAAAAGTATACGTCAGCCATATCCATGACGTAGCTAAACCATTAGTCATTAGTATAACCTTGAGTAATTTACAACGACAACCTATGACAAATACACAGAGAAGACGACAGGCACCATTAGAAGTGTCTACAGGTTTTGCGCTGGCGGATAGAAGCGATCATTAAGGCCCTGTCAGTAGGGAAAGCAGCTGGATAAGTGGCATCTTAACCGAATTTAAAAGTCATACCAGCTAGACGAACACCCAGGACGAGAAGGGGTTGAGACCGAAGATCTGGTATGTAGTGTATGTGGGATGATAAAATATATTTTCTTATGCAAAATCTTTATGGTACTTACTGTCAGCATATCTCTCTGGAAAGATGTCCATGATTCGACTGAAAAAACGTCTGGTTTAAAAAAACAACCGATTGAATAGTCGATTGTTTTTTTCCAGTCGGTTTTCCCATCACTACTAGTACAAGCGTTAACCACCAACGCCTCTTTGCACGACAACAATGGACGGAAACAAACCAAAGTGGATTTTTTATTATTTTGTTACAAATACCGCATCGTCAAATATGACAAAATTTAATTTTGGGGTTTTAGCTAAGCAATTTATTTTATTTTATTAAGTTATTAATGATTTTCTGACAATCAATTCGTAAATATATCAAAATTATTTAATAAAAGCCAATATAAAAGGGGTAACACACAGATACAATAGATAAAAGTAGGTGTTGTAGTGTTTTAATACAAGTAGATTTCTATTTGTTTTTTCTGTATAGCTTGCACGAGTCAAATCATAATTTAAACATTGGACGTAAAACAAATAATGAAATGCTCTCCCTCATAGTTTAAATGGAGAAGTACTCTGCTGATTGATACGTTGATAGGGTTGAATGAATATGTGATGTAGCCAGGAGATTATTTATAGAAGACATTGATTGTGGGGATGATGTATACAGGGGGGGGTCTCCTTCATTGACCAAACACAGAACAGCACAGCACACTGCCGATGCCGCAGAGAGCGAGGCGACGACCAACTAAACGGCTGGCCTGTTATATTGGTATGTTGTTTGTTACGAATATTAAATATAATTATTTACATAGCGTTATCGCATTGATACAATTAATGAATGAGCAGGTTTTAAATTAAATTATACTCCTATAATCCATCTCAGCCACTTTTTTATTCAAGAAATTTTGATAAACTTAATGGAATGAAGTTTTGTTTATCACCATTGCTAGTTCCATCAAAACGAATTTTTAAATAAAATATGGTTCCAATTGATCTATTGAAGGGAACTTTTACTTTGGAACTATTTTGCTTTTGAAATCGAGAAATCATTTTAAGATTTAAAAGTTGAATCTATTTGGAATAATATAAGTTCCTATCATTATTTTCAATGCTTACGATTTACTATTACTGTACCGTAGCACTGTTTAATACATGTTTTTAAATCAAAAGCACTGCGTGAATAAAAACCATTATTTATTAATTTGTCAGGACCCTTAAATTTGTTGTGTAAATAACCTACTAAAAAAATAACCTACTAGTGGCTGAACAACAACATAGGTTAGAGAATACATCGTATATTTCTCGATCACTCATCATTAAAACCCATGTTATTCGTCACCTGCATTTAAAACATTGGTTAGTTAACATTTGTTAGCTTAACATAAATATCAACTATTTGACTACCACATCAATCACATTAAATTACTATGTTTAAATTCAGCAATCCTGCATGGTAAATAACAAATACTATTGTTGTAGTCATTTTGTGGTTTTGGACGCAACGGACACGAGTAAATTTACTAATAGATGTATTATTATATTATATTATTGTCGAACTATATTACTTTCTTTTGTAACTTCCCAAAAATAATAAGAATACATATTATTAGATGAACCGTATTAAAAATGTTCCTGGCCGATCAAGTGTAGGCCATTTTACTCATCGTAGATCCCTGTTCTCGAGAATCAAAATTGGTTTAACTTAGATATAATGGAGTTCAGATGGTTCAAATATACCCAATATAATAGAGCTATTAATAAATCATTCACGTCCAAGGTTCTGAGAGCCATTTGAAGCACTCCTCGATTTGAAGATTCTTAACTACTGTATTTGCTCTTTATGATCATGGCGTGGTGGAACAGACGTTTGTTATAAGCACAAAAATAGAAGTTTCCCTGTTTAAAGCTATATTGTCTGCAAGTAACACGACAAACGTAGACTCTTGCGTGCTCTCGACTCGTCTCTGAATAAATTAGCACTCTAATGAACCATTACTCCAATACTCCCCTACAGATGCAAAAGCTATTACATAATACGAAAAGGAACTTTGTGGATTTAATACTTGAAAATGTAAAGACATAATGTCCGTTGTTCACTTTACAATAAAAATAAGGAAAGATAAATATAAAGTAGAAAAGCATTATTGTTAAATATTAATTTTCATTTGGGAATTTGCATCTCAAAGTTTAACATTGCTCGACTGTTCAGTAAACTTGTAAACGTTTATTTAAAACTCTGCGTTTTACTTACTGTACACCTCTCTAACATGTGCTATAATTACATTTATTAACACACTGTTAAACACATATTTTACATTAAAGCTCAAATAAAACAGTTAGTTTTCTTGTAAACATTAGTTTATTTCTTTCTCTCTCACATATTCTTTCAATTTTAACTTTACCCCTCTGGTCCTTCAAACTATTTCTCATAACCTTTTCTAATTTAACTCTCTTATATCTCGATCATTAACTTTATTTTCTTAAAATAATATTTCATTTCCATACCAAACATTGGTACTTCGAACCCAGGTACTGAATATCAGTCTTTCCTTTAAACATTGCTTAACAAAGAACCGGAATTTATTGTAATTCTCACATAATCTTACACCAGTCCAAACCAGGCAAAATATACAACTTAAATCACAGGTATTCTCAATGGATAATATTGATAAATTTAGTAAATCTGAAAACATAATTTTCACCACGATTCAGGATCTGAAATCTGGTCCAATCTACAAGTTGCCTGGTTTGTTAAGTCATCTTCCGATATCCGGAAATACTACTTAGAAACCGGGTCATATCAGAAACGCCGAGAAACTTCTGTTTTAATATACAGTGATACAATATAAACGTTGATGGTCATTTTAACAATACAAACCCAACATGACCAGTATTTAACTTGGTACAAAAAGAATATTACAGGGTTGAAATAAGGGGTGAATCCTAGTGATATTCAAGTGGGAGCGGGATAGGCCGAAAGTCACATCCTCACTAGGTTGAAAAACAATATGCATCACTAAATATTACGTAGCGTATATGAACGCTATGATAAAATAATCCTGCAGTATTTAGGATTTGATTCAATCTTAAATTGTAAGGAGCACAAATTTGCTTTCGTTTTCTGGCACAACTATTTTCTGCGTTACTTATGCTACATTACATTCACACGCATTTCAGACACCTAAGATTTAACCAAACGACGCTCCACCACCGGGTACTTTATGAAGGTAATAAACCTAAGCTTGTTAGAAGTTTGGTATGTGATATTTTGAAAGAGTTACACAATAAAGAGTCAAACTAAACCTAACATTAATTTATCTATTTCCATCGGCATAGTTAACTCTTAATCGAAGAAACAACCATGCATTATTCGCTTTCTAGTGACTAGTGAGATCCACAGCCCTATGTACCCCTTGCTTACCACACTATCCTGATTAGCCTATAGGATACGCCCTAATTACTGGCATGCCAAATCCAGGCGACAGTAACTCTAATCTCTAGGGATCGCCTTCCTTCGGACTTGAACGATTAAGTATGTCCTACTTCTCTACATTTGACGATCTATTGAATCTATAGATTCGGGGTATCTATTCGGGGATCTATTTCAATAGATTTGATCTATAGATCAGATAAATAAATCGCATTGCTTTAGGTTTGGTCCCGATTATTGAGTATTAGAAACAGATGATTAAATAAGAATAAGCAAATTGTGATTGATCTCTTTTAGGGAACTACCCCATATAACGCAATTAAATAATTAATTGTTAGTAACTACAAATATATATATATATATATAATACTATTCTAAAGGTTGTGAGAATAAGTTCCTTAGTTTTGATATAGCCTAGGGCAGATTCATAATTATCGCTGAAGTAGAACCAAAGAACACTATAACCTCACTAACTCGTCACACGACAGTCAACAGAGGGAGCACGCAAAAATAAGAAATTTAAACACACGCTGTAATTAATACATTTGTTTGAAATTTCTTCAATTTGTTTTGATTTTCTGTTTATATTTTGTTGTTATTTCGTCACCAGCATAGCAACCCCTTAAGGCCCATGTTAATTTTTTAAAATTTTATATTCATTTTTTGTTGTTATTTTTGAGCCTATTTTAATTTCTAAAGGTATTCTGCACATCTGCAGGAAAATATCTTTTTAACATTATGCGTAAATTCTCCCTGCAATGCACACAAGCTGAGAATAAAGGTTTTAAAAAAACATGCTTGCCTATAGGCCTATAGATATACATTCAACATGTAATATTCAACATTTCTTTAAAGATTGTTTACACAATATGTGAAAATACCCTTGTAAGTAATAAATTTAAATGTAAAAATTAGTCTGTTATGGATTTATTTATTAAAACATGTTAGAAATTTAAATGTTCTGGATAACTTGACAACCTCCGAATCTAGTAGGTTACTCGCTATTGAGGTTTTACTAATCAAAATATCAGAATTACTTTAAATCAGTAATGATAAATAAGTTTTTTTATAAGGTGTATATGTTAATAAAACCGCTTTGCAACTTAAGTTTGCAAAATTATGTTTCATAAAATTAAGAGTAAAAGTAAGAGGTAATATGGGTGGTTGAGATTGATTTGTACCAGAGTGTGCGATTGCGATATCTTATAGCCTATATTAAACCGTAACAGGGTTTGTTTTTTAATTCAAGATTCTGACTCAACCACATAACGGATTCTCGTGATTTTTTGTTGTAAGATTATTTCGAAAGCAAGGGAATGTTAATGCCGATTCTAGTTTAGGATTTCAGTTTTTTCGAAATTTAAGTAAAATATTTTTAAAGTCTAGCAGCCGACACTAACAATTTAAAACCGTTTCGGTGCTGTTTTAACAAACATATAATTTCAAACTGCCATTGCAATTTTTTATGTTACTTGTCTGCAAAAATATTGGTGTTTGCCTACATACTATTTCACTTTAAAATGTTGTTTTTTTCTATCGTAATGGATCTGCGTTGTCAGGTAATGTGTAGATTATAACTATACATGTTTTAACTAACACTTCAACACTTGGGTAAAATCAAAATAAATGAAATCATAAAATCAAGTATTGTCTTACTTAG